GAGGGAGGAAGGAGGGAGGGAAGTAAGGAAAGAAAGAAAGAAGGAAGGAAGATGAGATGGAAGGAGGCAGGGAGAAAGGAAGGAAGGAAGGGAAGAAGGAAGGAAGGAGAGAAGGAAAATGGGAGGGAGGGAGAAAGGAAGGAAGGAAGGAAGGAAGGAAGGAAGGAAGGAAGGAAGGAAGGAACCCTCATCTATAACCCCTTTTTTCCTCTCCTCCTCCTCCTCCTCTCCTCTCACAGCTGGAGGATGAACTGGTGGCCATGCAGAAGAAGCTGAAGGGGACGGAAGATGAGCTGGATAAATACTCGGAGGCTTTGAAAGACGCCCAGGAGAAGCTGGAAGTGGCCGAGAAGAAGGCGGCCGATGTACGTACCCCAAACGGGGGACGGGAGGGGTGTGAGCACTGGCTGGGAGAAGCGTAAGGACCATCCCTGCAAGACAGGGCTGGACTACAACACCCAAATGCCCCAGCCAGGTCCGCAGAGGGCACGGTCCTCAACAATTGGGGTGCAGCTTCCCTCTCTTAAAAGGCAGTTGTTGAAGCGCCTCGTCCTAATGACCGTACCCCAAATTCATTCCTTCTTTGTGTGTGTGTGTGTGTGTGCGTGCGCGCTGCGGCCGTTAAGCGAATCCCGTGGTCGTTAAGCGAATGACGCAACCATTAAGCGAACCCAGCTGAGAAGGTTGCAAAAGGGAGATTAGGTGAGCCTGGGATGGGACACTGCGCCCAGCGTAAATGCAGGCCGGTTACCCCGTCGTAAAATGTGGGAAGGAATCCCTGAACCAATGTCTCACTTAGCGACGTCAATTCTGGGGGGGGCTTGTGGTCATAAGTCGAGGAGCGGCTGTGTTCCTCAAGAATCTGGACGGTCCCAGCGAGGAGGAGGGCAAAATAACGGTGCTCTCCAACACACGCAGAGCGAAAACAAATATTCTGGAGAAGTTAAGGTCTTTCCAAAAAATAGTTTCTTATTTCCTTGCTATAATTTCTTATAGTTAGAGGTCTTTCCAAAAAATAGTTTCTTATTTCCTTGCTATAATTTCTTATAGTTAGAGGTTTTTCCAAAAAATAGTTTCTTATTTCTTTCCTATAATTTCTTATAGTTAGAGGTCTTTCCAAAAGATAGTTTCTTATTTCTTTATTTTAATTTCTTATGGAGGTCTTCCCCCCCAAAATAGTTTCTTGTTTCTTTACTATACTTCCTTACAGTTAGAGGTCTTTCCCCCCAAAATATAAGTTTTTGATGGGGGAAGAAAGCTGCAAATTAGCCACTAATTTGGGATTTTGCAAACTTGCAAATGGCTAATTTGGCTTGCCCAATATATATGTATATATATCTGCGGAAAAGCAGAAGAAACGGTAAGGAAATTAGCCGTCAAGAAATGTCTGAAAATAAGCTTATCTGCCCAAACACATGTTGCGGTTAAAGTTAAACCTACATGGGGTTGAGGAAGGATTGCCCAAGAATGCCGGGATG